GAACAAAATTCTTTAAAACTTCATTGTCCAGGGCCGGCCGAGTGGCGCGATGGTTAAGAACTCGCTTGGGATGCCAGAGGGCCCCGGTTCGGATCCCACATATGAGGGCCAGTGACACTGCCCTCCACAGCTAAGATGCTGAACAACAGCTCAAACTGGAGCTGGGCTGCTGTGAGTCACCGGCGACGGCAGCGTAGGCTGCAGCCCCTTTGGCAGTGGGTTGCCATGGGCTACCGTGTGTAGCCAGCAGCCAGCGTGAGCAGCCAGCAGCCGCAGTGAGCGGCTGTCCAGAAGCCCGCGACTGATCTGCCTCACCCGGGAAGAGCACAATGATGGTGCCAACTTGGGCCAGTGAAGCAACATCCTCCACAACTAGATTGAAGAACAAAAATGACAGCAACTTGTATGTTCCCCTTCCCCCAGTTCCCCAGCACTGTTCCCATCCCCCCAATTCCCCAATAAAAATCTTTAAAAAAAAAAAAAAACTTCATTGTCCAGAGTCTCCTGAACTACATTGATTAATTATTCAAACTCACTACCTGATGGCCCTCACTCTAATTCACCGAGGCCTAAAAAATTGTTTTACAAAATCACATCTCCAACATGAAACTCCAAGGAACCAGTTTGGGAGGGAGACAGTGGTTATTTCCTGTTTTCTCTCTGAAAACATGATTTCTTGACTCTCTTGGTGTACAATGAAGAGTCTCTTTCAAGATTACAAATGGTGAAAGGAGGTATGGGTGGGAAGAATGGAACACTGATCTGTAAGAGAAAGCAATAACTAAGGTTTCCATCTATCTACTTAACACAAAAAGACATGCCTTATACAAAAGGCGAAAAGTAAATAAATATTACCAAATGTAGCGTTTTCTTGGCTACTCTGATATAGTATCTCTGGCTCTTCCTATGCTTACATGTACTGTCTGTTCAGTATCCTTTTATGATGTTTTCTGCCAGTGTTCACCCATGTGAATATTTATCACTGGTATAAAATCACATTGCATTAATAAAGATGCCATTAGTGCTTAAACAGATAGGGGTTCTGATTTTAATATAATTTCCCTATAAAGGCAGCAGCACAATACAACCTTGCACAATGGTTAAATTCTAAATATACTGTTTAAACTAAATAGTAGGCTATTATTTCAAAAACTGCTAATTTCTCACATCTCTCAAGTATACTGCTGAACACAAATTGGATGGTATAATTAAAAGCAGTATACTCATGAAACAGAGAATCATTCAATATGAATATAAATCTAATATATATCTATAATAATGTGGATCTAATATGTATAAATGCGAAGTTTAACAAAATGATAATTAGCATATATTTTGGATTGAAAATTCTCTTATGGGTTTCAGCAATAAGTCAAATTATATTACACGTGTGTAACACTTTAAAAAAGGTCAAATTTCCATTTTACTTTATCTTTGTGCTTGGGTCTTATTTTATAAATATTCTCAAAGGAGCTCACGATTTTAGGGATTTTATTTAAAAAGCAGTAAAGCAAGATTCGCATCACAGAAAATAACTGTTTCTGTCTTTCCTTTATAATAAAAGATAGCTTTCAACATTTAAGAACAAGTCTATAGTCATCAGAGAACTACAAAATCAAAACCACAATAGAATACCGCTTCATAGTCATGGAATGGCTATAATAAAAAGATACGTAATAACAAGGATGTTAAGGATATAGAGAAATTGGAACCCTCATACACTGCTGATGGGAATGTAAAATGGTGCAGCCACTTAGGAAAACAATCTAGTAGTTCCTCAAAATGTTAAACATAGAGTTACCATATGACTCAGTTATTCCACTTCTACACTCACTTATACACAAGAGAAATGAAAACAAATGTCCACATAAAAACTTGTACAAAAATGTTCGTAGTAATTTTACTGATAATAGCCAGAAAGTGGGAAAGATCCAAATTATCAACACAACCGATGAATGGATAAATAAAATGTGATATATTCATGCAATGGAATATATTCAGCAATAAAAAGAAATGAAGTACTGATACATGCTACAACCTGGATGAATTCTGAAAACATTATGCTAAGTGAAAGAAGCCAGTCAAGACCACATTTTGTATGATCCCATTTATATGAAACGTCCAGAATAGGAAAATCTATAGAAACAGAAAGTAGATTAGCGTTTACCTAGGGCTAGGGGTTGGGAGAAAATAGGAATGGGGTGACTGTTAAAGGGTACAGAGTTTCTTTTTAGAGTGTTCTAAATGTTCTAAAATTGTTTGTGATGGTTGCACTAGTCTGTGAACATGCTAGTAACCATTGAGTTGTACACTTTAAATGCATGAATTATATGATATATGAATTCTACCTCAATTAAGCTGCTTCCCCCTCAAAAAAACCTAATGCAATGGCTTTCAACTGCAGCCACACATAGAATAACCCAGCTTATTCTTTAAAAAAAAAGTACAGATCCCCTAGACCTGCCAGACCACTAAATCATAATCTATGGGAGTGGGACCCACTTTTCTAGACTCGTGGGGACAGTACAGTGAGACCTAGGTTCAAATTCTGACTGCCAACTAACTTCCTAGTTGCATGATCTTCAGTAAATTATCTAATTTCTCTATATTTTCAGTTACTTCTTCAGTTAAATTATCTAATTTATCTATATTTTCAGTTACAATGGGGGGAGAAGTATCTATTTCATTGGGTTACTGTAAAAATTTAATGAGATAACACATGTAAAGTATACATGTACAGAATAGTATATGGTATATAACATTGTGCTAAAACAACAACTATGCTTATTATTACGATTATGTTATTTTTACTGGGCGTTTATTTTTGTCTTCCCTATAAGGAAACAGATAATGCATACTTTTGCAATGTTTGCCCAAGTCCATGCATCTAAGTTAAACCTTATAAATCTTAACTCCTTATAAGAAATACAGTAATACCTTGGTTTACAAGCATAATTCGTTCCAGAAACAAACTACTCGTATTGCAAGGCATCGCTCGTTTACTACATTAAAATGTGTTAGAAGTGTTTGCTTGTCTTGTGGGAACACTCACAAACCAAGTTACTCGCAATCCAAGGTTTTACTGTATTAAGTTTTACATTTAAAAGCAGTTTACTTTCTATGATGCCCTGCTTGGAACAAAATAAATAACATTTATGAAGTTAGTAGTTTTATAGAAATAGAGAAATTACAACAAACTTTAATAATGTCACTAATAATGAGAGGTTGCTCATTTTAAAAAATTATATGGTTATTTTTAAAATTATAAATTTAGGAATAAAGGTCAAAAATTAGGCAGCCACAAATATCAATCATTTAATTAAATAAAACTTGCCAATTTTTAAAAATACATTCACTTTTTGGTAAAAATGCTTAAATAGCTATATACTCAAGAACAACTGAATTTAAAATCCTATGAAATAATTTCTTGCATAAGAAATGTGTGTTCTTAATTCCTGGGTAATCTGATAACATCTCTACAAAAAAAAAAAATCCTTAAAGAGAGACTTCATATGAATAAAAGCCAAAGTTTTAGGGTGGAGTACAATACATATACAAAACAACAAGAACAAAGACAGGAAATAATTTTTTATTTCTATATAAAAAGTCAGTATTTCTTTCTCTAATAGCCTATAAATCTATTCCACAAGGAGCCATACGTACAGGTCAAATTTTGACTGAATCTGGTATGAAATCAAGTCATTCAACAACCACATCCCTATCTGAAAACATGGAAACAAGCATTTCCATTCAAATTCCTGGGAATATTTTAATATCTCATGAGTGAGTCATAAGTACAGTGCAATGCTTGAGAAAATCTATCATGGATTTTCTAAGTACATTTAATTAAACCAAAATTAACTAAGATTTTAAGTGTCTGGTTAAAGTTAAATGTAGTGGAACACTAGACCTAAATTGCATCTTTTTCAAAGCTAGATAAATTGTTATAATACGCACAGAATATTGTATCTCTACAAAACTACAGATGCTAAAAACAGAAAGTTCCCTTTATCACCCACAATAACACCAATGCTCAAAGCAACAATATATTTAATTCACCTTTCTTATTCAGAATAAATTTGCCTTTCATACAAAAGAAAAACTTTCCTCAAAATGTTGCATAATCAATTTTTATAAATCTTATAAATGGCCCATAGACAATGCCTTAATCAATTTCCCAAAATTGATTAAGTCAATGGTTTACTATATTCCAAATGTTTTTAAGATTTTTTTCCATAATTAAAAATATTAAAACAATGATTTTTTTTTTACTGACTTGTTTACACATGTATGTTTCCTACTACCGTTCTTTTAAAAACATTCCTTTGTTTCAGTACAATATAACTTTATATATAAAAACTGAAGTGAAATCTACCAAGATGCTAACAGTATTGTATTTACTATAGGAGACTTTTCTTCTATTTTTCTGTATTCATTAATTGTTTTTAATGAACATGTGAGTACTTTCAAAACAAAGAAAAATTCTTCAATTTTCATATGACACTGCTTTTTCATAAGGATCTGATATGCTATTTTGTAGTAACTTAGGTAGAACAGTGATGTGAATTTAAACAAACATTTTTCAGGTAAAGAAGGGAAAGTCAGAAAATGGGAAAATGTAAATGTAACCTTAATGCATCTAATAAAATTACAGCTGCAAATACTTTAAAAATAGGTGGCAACAACTTAAAAATTAGGCAAACATCTTTTTTCTGCTTCAAATTCATTTTTTTCTTCAATGAAAATGAATGACTAGGTTTGTGTGAAAAAGGCCCAATTACATCTATATTCTAACTCATTTTATTAAATCTATAAGATATCTCAAACTATGTACTATTAATATTGCTAAAACTGAATAATTAAAGTAAACCATAAGAAGATGGAATTTAGGAACCAGATGTTTTTAGGCTAGTATCAGGTATTTTCTGATATGGATAAGCACTCACTGAATTATTTAGCATAACAAGTACTACATATAATAGTAAACCAAGGCCTCTTACCAATTTCAGCAGGTAGTTGTTTGATTTTGTTCTCTCGAATACTAAGCATGCTGAGTTTTGACAGGTTTTTGATGTCCTTTTCCACAGTAGTTATACGATTAAAGCGAAGGTAAAGAGTGGTGAGAGAATCTAGCCTGTACACCACTGAAGGAATTTCTCTCAGTTTATTGTGCCGTAAATCAAGCATCCGCAGCTTCTTCAAGTTATCAAGAGAGTCAGGCAAACTGGTAAGTGAATTTTCACTTAGAGCCAGTGTCATGAGATTTACTAGACAGCCCACTTCTGCTGGGAGGGACTGCAATTTGTTGCTATATAAATAAAGTTCTGTTAATTGAGTTAATTCTTTGATTGATGATGGCAATATGTGTATAGACCTCTTGGATAAGTCCAAACGCATTGAATTCTCTTCCCGACATTTGTTGAGCTCTTTAATCACCTCTGCATTGCTAGACTTTTTTCTAGTCCCAGTTGCTGGATTTGGCCGTTTGATCGTATTGTCAACTGAAAAAGCCACCCCTGGTTGGGCAGCACTGGAGTCCTTCTTTCCATCTTTGGCATCTTTCCCTTTGGTCTTAGGTTCTTTTTCTTTGCTATCTTTTCCAAAACCTCCAGAGGCTTTTGCCTCCTTTTCTCTTTCCTTGGCTGATGGTACTTTGGGATCTTTCTCTTTAGAGTCTTTTTCTTTTCCTAAACTACTACTCATGGTGACTCAAGCTTGGGCAAAAACTACATGAACTCCTTTTAATTTCCTTGCCAACAATAGTAATTGGAATTCAAAGATGAAGAAACAAAGATCCTACAGAATCAAAAACAGTGTTGGCTTGAAGAAGTCATCACCATAGAGGAACAGCCATCTGTTACATGTTGGATCTGAAAGCACTATGCCCATTTCTGGTAACTCATTCCAACTGGTAAAGTGGTACTGGTCAATGATTCATTAGAATTCCTGAAATATAATACAGAGAGAGTATTAATACTTCAGATTATAACTTATATTAAGCAAATGGGCCCTGAAAAAACAATCTTACTGATAATTTTGCCATTTTCCATGATTTGATACCATAATTATCAAACTATTATGCAAAATCCATTGAAAAGCTATAAAAATCAACAAGGCGGGCCCTACCTTCAAAGTGTATTTACAATCTAACAGGAAGAGGTAACAAGTTACTATAGTACAAAACTTTGTAAGGGCTGAAAAGGGGGAGAAGTCACAACAGCAGATAATGTTTGAGTGCTTTCTATACACAAACACTATTATAAGGAATTTACAAATATTAATTCATTTAATACATTTACCAGCCCTATGAGATAAACTGTTGTCCCATTTTATACATAGGAACATTGAAGCACAGAAACATTTTTAAGAAATTAACTTTGTGATCTTGGAAAAGTGACAGAACTGAGATTCCAATGTATATAGTCACTGCCCGTGTTTCTAACAACTACACTAAAATTGCTCTATCTGCAACTAATTACCCGATCGCTTTAAGCAACACAAAGGCTTTCAAAGGTGATGACAGAATGGAGAGCAGTCTGTTAAAAGAACAAAATGAGCAAAGTGAAACATGTACAGAGAACAGCAAATAGTTCAGGAAAAAGGGTATCAAGAATCTGCACTTAAATAAGCACTGTAGGTGACTGTAATGCAAGTAGATCTAGGGACCATCTTTTAGAAACAGTAACGAAAAGCAATCTTCAATCATGTCTGTAGTCTAAGAATTGGAAAAGTGAGAATTCTTAAGGGTTCTTAAAAGTAGAAATAGTTCACTGATAAAATGACTGACCCTTTAAAGCAGCGGTTCTCAACTTTCCTAATGCTGCAACCCCTTAATATAGTTCCTCATGTTGTGGTGACCCCCAACCATAAAATGATTTTCGTTGCTACTCTATAACTGTAATTTTGCTACTGTTATGAATCGTAATGTAAATATCTTTTTGTTTTCTGATGGTCTTAGGCAACCCCTGTGAAAGGGTCGTTGGACCCCCAAAGGGGTCGCGACCCACAGGTTGAGAACCGCTGCTTTAAAGGGATTCACAAAGGCTGAAAGAGGAGTAAAGTCTTTGTGAAGGAGTTAGTCTTCCCTAAGAATTTTGAAATTTAAACTCTAATTTTTGTTTTGTGACTCTATTATAATAGAGTTTTATAACTAACTGATCTTTATTTGGTACTAGGGCTTAAAGCTTAAAGACAAAATTATAACATCTCACCTGATTAGCTTAAAGGTTAAAAAGCAGTTAATAAAATTTTATCAAACCACTAAAAGCATTTGATAGTCTCAACTGTGCTAAGAATTTCTATATAGAGGATGTGAGCCTCGTTCTATACAAGGCTACAGTTTAGACAGCCAAAACATTCACATGACAACTAAGTAACTGATAAGATGGTATATTAAGTCCTCAGATAAGTGACATATGCTCTAGCACTTTTGAGAAATCACTGGTTTGAAATCACTCACATACTAAACACACACACACACACATATATATACACATACTTATACATTTATATAAACATATATTGGGTTTCTCCATAACCAGGCTTCAAATTCTATCTTTTCCAGGTTTACCATTTGTACCAATACACTCTCCATTCCAGTCTTATCATACTATGGATACAGTATGCTTATAAAGTGCTTTCGCATTACCATATCTTTCTTCGGCTGGTTCCCTCTGCCTGGATGATCCTTTCCTCCTCTCAATCTCTACTCCCTTAGTTCCCCCGGCCACACCGTTTATATACTACCCTCACCAGTTCCCAGTTTCCTGAAAATATGGTAGTTTTCCTCCCTCCATGCCTATAGTTTTGCTGTTTCCTCCTCTGCCTATATGCCTTCCCCTATATATATATCCCTCACACTTCTTCCTTTTCCAGGTACCTCCTTACCTGGTGAACCCATAAACATCTTTTAAGACTCCTAAAGAATCACTTTCTCCGGGAAGTCTTTCCTACATCCCTCTCATTAGGCTAAGTACCTCCCAGAAGCTCCTATGAGTGTCTATCACTATATAACATACTGGTTTTTTTTAAATCATTGGTTTTATTTTTTAGTTCCTAGGTAAATCTTTACACACCTCAAATTCTTATTAACATTCACAACAGCAATATACTTGTACTTGTGTTTCATATATGCTCATTTGTTTCTGTTAGGATGTATTTTTATTTCTTTAATAACTGTAATAACATTTTTGAATATCAAAAAGTTAAACATACCTATTCCCCACCCTGAACAAGTCAGTACTAAAGCAACTGAGTGTTGCAGAGCAAGGTGGGCTTCTGCCCAGTGATGGTAGAAGGTGAGAAGTCGAAATGTCCCATAGCAGAAAGTCAGAGCCCAGGCAGACTAAAGAGGGTGGGAGTACAGAAGCCTTACCCCATCTTGGATTTCAGAGTCTGGGTGAGATGAGAAACACAATCCCACAATGGGGCAGCTCCGTGGGGGGGATATTAGAGCCCAACCAGGACAAAGTGGACATCAACATATGTTGGCAACCTTCAAGAGGTGTCAGAGGCCAAGTGAGCTGGGGATGGGTGTCCTCAGAGGGGGATGGCTCAGCATGGAGAACTAGAACCTGAACGGGGTAAGAAGAGATCCACAGGTGGTGACAGACCAGTGTGGGATGCTGGATTCTAAGGCATAAGTGAGGAAGATGTCTACAATGGAGAGCTAGGTGGTTAAAGGGTAGGTGGCATGGCACGGAGAGTTAAGAATATGAGCAAAGTGAAGAGGGCATCCACGAAGACAAATACTGTGCTAAAAAGTGGGCAGGCAATTCCCAGGAGAAAATACTTAAATGGCCAATAAATATTGTTTCAAAACTACTCAATATCACTAGTAATTAGGGAAATATGAAGAGATATTACTGCCATCAGGTTAGCAAGTATAGAAGTCTTATATCCAGTTCAAAAAACAAACCCTCAGGATTATAGAAAAGATACTACTGTAACTGATTATACTCTTATTCTGAGTGTGTCTACATACTAGGACAGTAGTTACTATTTATCCATATTAAAAAGCTTATTATGCCCCCATGGTTACCGGTAATCGTAACTGTCACGCAAACACATGTTTTGGGGTACCCCAACATGTTAATCTGAAAATGTTCAGTAATATATTCTCAGCATTTCCCAAAATCTATTTCTACAACATCTAGTTCCGTGGTCAAATAGGTTTAGGATAAGGTGTTTCAAACATAATAAAACTGTGTCTTTACAGCAGAAATTATCAGTGCTTTGAATATAATAATTTGTAAAGAATATAATATACAAGATTTTCCAGTTTATTTAGCTATATACTAGTTATCAGGATTCTTCATGTAAATGATATTAATACCTTTTATTTATTAATGAGGATATCAATAGATATGCGATAAATATTTCCTCTGTTGATGGTTTTTCTTGTAACTTTATCATAGCATTAATAAACATATATGTAATATTAAAAGTCTAGAAGAGCACCCAACAAATGATATCCTTGGGTACTAGGATGGTCTTCACTTTATCCCTGTATTATTTTTTAAATGTACAATAAGTATTCATTCCTTTCATAATCAGGGAGGGGTGGGAAGCCATTTTCATTTTGAAACAGAAAAAAATCCTAACAGTGAGAGTTTGGTTATGTTGACTTTTACACTGGGAAAGGATAAAGGTAATTAAAAATGTCAAGTAAACCTGAATGTATAATACAAGAGGTCAACATAATATCAAAGCCTATTTAAATCTGTCCATGATAGCCCATTAGGAACTAAATACATCTAGCACGTCAGATTTGAATTATAACATACATTGTTTTTACAACAGATATGCAAACAGTGCATGGAATGATCTGATTCACTGAAATTATAAACCAAGTTTTTGGATGTTGGCAGTTCAGAAAAACAGTTTTTTCTCCAGTTATAAATATTTAAATGTTTATAAATATAAAAATGATATTTTCATTCAGTCAACTTTTATTTAATAAATACTATCAAATAAAATGCACTGTTCAAGGTGCTAAGTATGTAATAACAAGGCACAACAGTCCTTGGAGGTAAGCTTACAAATAAGTGGAAAGGCAACACAGTGTGGTAAGAGCTGTTGAGGCACAAAGAGAAGGTGCTTAAACCAGCCTTGGAGGTTGGGGGAATCAGTAAAGGCTTCTTAAAAGAGATATGGGCTAAGGAGAAATCAACTAAAAACGGTAGTACTGGGGTCAGGACCCCTGGACTCATCTTGACTCCTCTCTCTCCTTCAACTCTTCCATCGTAACAATCACCAAATCCTATCCATTCTTCCCGCAAAACCTCCTGACTTTTCAATTTCTCTACATTCTCACTGCCACTTACCCAGCCCCCTGAAGCCTCTCCTCTAACAGCTTTGTAACTGGTCTTACCACAACCACTCCTCTGTCATGTTCCTAACCTAATCAGTACACTGTAATTAGAGTGATCTTTCAAATACTCAAATCTAATCGGGTTACTGTCCAATTTAAAACACTTGGGGAGAGAGTGGGTGGCCCCCATAAACATAGCCCTCAGGATAAAATCCCAAATTCTTAGCAGTAATTACAAAGCCTTTCAAGATCTGGCCCCTGCTTACTTCTCTGCCCCAACTCTGACATTTCCCAACTTGCACTCTGGTCACGTGAACTTTTTTCAGATCCCTGCTATCACTTGTCCCTCGGACTTCCGCACAGCTATTTCCTTCTGCCAAAAACACAGGTTTACAGTTCTTGACTGAGCTAACTCCCATGTATTCTTCAGATCTCAGCTCAGAGGTCTGAGAAGTCTTCCCTGATTATTCAAAAGCTTTCTGAATACCCCCTCCTCCACGCTCCCACTTAAAACTTCCCCTATCAGAATATGTATTGCTTTGTACTCACACTATATTTGCCAGGTTAGCTGTCTGACTCCCTTATTTAAAGTAATGGGAAAACAGGGACCCTTCTTTCTCACAGTTGTATCCTA